TTTAGAAAATAAAAAATGAAAAAAAAACTTTCTTATCTCATAGTCTTGTTCAAATTATTCCTGACGGCCAAATTTAGTTAGGGTTTTTAGTTTTTCTATTTTGATTTTGAGTTTTCTCATTTCTATGACTATTTTTAAGTTGTAACAAAAAAAAGAAAAGAAAAGAAATGCAACTCTAATGAAAAAAAAAAAAATTGATGTAAGAGGTGAGAAATTAAACACCGATCTTATATTAAAATATGAGATACACCAAGTCACCAATGGAGCAAATGATCTGAGATTTGAGAGAGATTTAGAGAGATGTAAGAAGAGGGCAAATGGTGTTGTAGAAACAATAATGATGAACATAGAGATAGCTGTCGATGGCTTCTTCTTCTTCTTCTTCTCTTTTTTTTAACTTTTCATCTTTAACCAACCACCTCCTTCTCAGAGTCTCACACTCCCCTCTCATAATAGTTATATATACGATGGACTTTAACATAATCCTAATCTAATGATCAGAGTAAAAAGTTACATTATATTTTACATCTTACCGATTTGACCTGCTCAAACTGGACAATTGAACTCATGACCTAGAAATCAAAAGCCAAAGCAGTTTTGTTCCTAGGCCAGTTTTTAAAACATTGATTTTAGTTAAAAGAAAGTTTCACAATCTTATTCATATTTTTAATATTAGTATAAATATAGAATTAAAGATGTATTCAATTTTTTCTATAATTTTTTTTGTATCAATTCTTGTTTATTACACTTATTTTTATAATTTGATTAATAAAAATATCATAATTGTGTATATTTTTTTTTACATTTTTTGTAAATTTCTATATTTGTTTCTATTTTAAAAATTTTATTACCTAACTATGACTTCATAGGTTGATCAATTTGATTTGAATGGTTGAATTGTTTAGCCACCACTTGGACAAAGAATGATTCTGTTCTTGAGTCAGTTTTAAAATATATGACTTTATATTGTTAAAAATATTGACATAAATCTAATTAGTGCATTTATTAGTGAAAAATAACTTAAAAATATAAGATTTAATAAGAAAAAATGGGTTTTAATGTCTTAAGTATAAGACTTAAAGAGAGATGATTAAATGAGGTAGAAAGTAATAATTGAAGTTACATTTTCAACTCTTATATTTAGAGATAGATTAAATACACATATGCGTCCATTATAATAGCCATTAAAGGTGACATTAAAATTATAGTAAATGACTTTTATACCCTTTTTCAAACAAAGAAACAAAAGGTAATTTTAGTCCAAAAAAAGTTTCATACAACATTCACACCTTTATATATAATATAGATATAGATATAGATATTTGTGTCTATATGCTTTACCATTTTAAAGTGTTTAAAGATTTCTAGAACCAAATTACCTGGTTGAGGATGAGAACCTTCAAGTGATTGTTCTTCCCCCTAAAAATATTTTTCTAACTGCTCAGTCCTTAACAGTCTTGAATCTTTAAGGTCTATCCCAGTCTTGGTTAGCCAGGTTCTGTATTGGACAAAAACCCCAAACTCTACAAAACCCGCTTAACCAACACATGGGCAACTTCATTACACACCCTATTAACATTGGAGAAAAGAGATAGACAAGTTCTTGATAGCCTCCAGAACATCACATCATAAAAACACAACGTCCCTTGCCACCATACTAATGCCACTCCAAATTGCTGGATTGAGATTAAGACAATCACTTTCATAGAACACACGAGGGTTCTTAGAAGCTTCAAAAGCTCTAACCCCTTTAAAATAGTAGTGGCTTCAGCTTGAACCACTGAAGCTAGCTTTACCCACGTCCAAAACTACCATTGATATTTACCATTATAGACCTAATAAAAGGGGCTACCAAAAAAGAGGGAAGAGCAGTTTGATCAACTACTTGAGAAAGTTGCAAGCTTGGTCAAGAAGTCAGATTTCTCTCCCTCAGCATCCTATTAATAACAAAGACCAAAGCTTCATTGCATTCTGGAGAAATATTTTTGAACACAAACCCGTGTCTATTTTTCCATATTGTCCACACAAACAAAGTAGAAAAAGTGAGCATTTGTCTAGCCAAGCTTTAATCCACATACAGAAATTAAGATGCAGATCTTAAATTTCAAACCTGTAATTTAAAAATTCCTGAACCATGAGGATTTTGCATGATTACATAAGGACAAAGCACGAGTTATAGACTCTGGGCCCTGATGGAAAATGGGGCATTCATTGTAGAAGGAGATACCTTTCTTTTCCAAATTCTCCCTGATCGGGATAGCATTCCGGCAACACTTCCACAAGAAGTTTTCAATTAGTGGGCCACTTCAATTGCCCAAAGTCTGATATTTCTTTTCCAACCATATAGAGTTCCCGATTTGCTCATTTTGACTAATATCAGCATTTAAATCCAAATACTATCGGTATTAGTGACAGAAAGTGTTTAAATGACATTTTAAACTTTTCTAAATCCCACTTTGCCATCCCTTTTGTCACCCCCGACAAAATACTAGTTATTTATTTATACTCCTTAGGCTGAGTTTGGAAGGAGTATAAATGCAAATATGTAGAGTGCAAAATCTTATATTTTGTATGTATTTATGCTGTACATATTTGCATTTGTACTGCTTCCAAAGTGAGCCTTAATGCGACATTAAGGTGAGAATAAAAAGTTGAAAACATGTTCATAAAAATTAAAATAAATTAAATTTTGAAATGACAAGTTTGAATTTAATGTTTATAAATGAAATTATTTTTATCAATTTCAAAACATAGTTTTGAAATGCAAACTAAATATTTTATTATTAAATGCCTTTTTGGTAAAATACAATTCTTGTCTTATCCAAAATATAGTTTGGTGGTTGGGGAGGGTAAGTTGTTAGGTAAACTTGAGGGGTGTTATAAATGTTTGACTAGGGTATAAGCAATTTACCCCATATTAAAATTAATATTTTAAGTATCAATAAGATCTATATTAATTTCCTAATGTATACATGTCTTATTGATGCATTTGTAGAATATTTACATGTATCATAATCATTCTAGGGTATCCAAGTGATTCTAATCATATCATAAATTGCATTTGTGATGTTTTTTACAATAAACACAGCTTTTTGGGAAAATTCATGAAAGTACATTACTTTGGGGATAATGACATTTAAGGGTCTCAATTTCACTTGTGACAATGAAGTACCCTATACCAAGGGTCTCAAATCGATACTACTTTTTTTTTATTTTACATTTTTTTTTTATTTTTTTTCTGAAACCGGTTCAGGGGGGCCAGTTTAAGGCTCCTCCACCCCCTGAACCGGTCAGACCCCTGATACACCCAATAGGGGCGTATCGGAGGGATCCCAGAATGATACGTATCGGCCGATACGTGTCGATACTTTGAACCTTGCCCTATACTTGAAAAATCAACACTCAAGTCCAAGTTTGCTAATTGGCATTATAGTGATTCAGAGAATAAAATTGCAAAATGAAAAAATGGACATAGTTAATGTGCAAATCACTATGTTGCTTCAATGCTCTATTCATTCAATTCTAAGTAAGAAAATGGGAAACAAAGGGTCAATAACCAATGATTTAGAGATTTGATAAAAGGGCAAAATGGTCTCATAAAACATGCAAAAGGCATATTTGGGATTTTTAAATGTTTCAAGGTGCACATGACATCATGTGCTTTAGATAACTAATGAAATGCTAATGCCTGGACTTGAGTGTTGATTTCTGAAAGTACATGATACCTCATTGCCACAAGTGAAAAAGTTGAGGCCCTTAAGTGTTACTACCCCGAAAGTATGGGGTACCTCTCTCTAATTTTCTCCAACCTTTTCTATAGTTTTCTCAACCAGCCAACATGGTTTGTTTATGTAAGTATGAATAGCAGAGCTATATGGTGTGATTCACACACTGATATCATCATATTATCATCCAAGCCTTATCCCAATTATATGACATCGGTTACACGAAACTTGTTTCACCATTATGTTTAGGGATGCAACTCGTGTAGGTTGGGTGGGGTTGAAGGTCAATCCAGGCCCAACCTTAAAAGCTGCAAACTCAAGTGTGGGCCTGGCCCAACCCAAGGTTAACCCCAAGTTTATCAACCTATTTGGGCTCAAGCTCAAGCTGGGCTATGTTGAGTTAGTTAGGCTTGGGAAAGTTGGTTGGGCTTGAAAGAATTTATGTATATACTTTTTACATAGTCATCTTTTAGGTCAGGCGACTCAGGCCTAAGTTTTATGGCCCAAGCCCAGACTGCAACCTAAAATCTCAGGGCCAGCCCTTGCAAAAATTTGGGTTGGGTTGGGTTGGACCCACCCAAGTTGCACCCCTATTCCATTCTATATCATACACCAATATGGTTCTGGCAATAATGTTTCCACTAAGGCTCAATATGGAAAGAGTGCAAATACAAATATGTACAGTACAAATACAAAGGTTTAGAAATACAATATACGAGGTTTTGCATTGTACATTCTTTTATTTGTACAAGTACAACTACAATCCATGGGTTTAAAAATGTGTATGTCTGCAAGCAAACACCAACATGACTAGTGGCACATCTTAGCATGAATACTCTAAACAGATGTTTATTATCTAACTACCAAGTAAGGGTGGGGGGCTTCATGTACTTTCTCCCTATTAATTTATGTGGTTGTTGTTCAAGTGAACTCCTTGAAGGGTAGAACCATCTGCCACGTAAAGGGGGAAGAGGCTTGGAATCATGGTATCTATAAATGTCTTTCAGCTTCATTTAATATGTGCAAAGAAACTTGAAGACTAAAGGACTACATCTAGTACATACAAAGTGCATCTATTARTGTTTATCAGCTTCATTGAATGAGTGAACCAAAATTAAAGTGCACATGTAGTACATCTGTAGTATGCAGAATTCAATGGATTTTTCTGTTGGCAAAAAAGACAGACGATGTCCAATAGACTGGAATGCAGAATCAATAAGTAACCAGAATAATCAGTCTCTATCTGCAAGGGAGAGAAAAAAGAGCCATGAGAGAAGATAGTATTGGTGTTACTGCAAATCCTTTATTGCTTGGTGCAAGAAAGTATTTCTCATGGAAACTTGTGAATTTATTAATGATGGAAAAGTCATGCAACCAGAGAACATTTCATACAAAATAGGACATATTTGTTATTGGATTTAGCTAGAATCAATGACTTTTGCTGTGCCAACAGAAACCTGATAAAAAAAATTGGTGCCACGCTTGGAATAGAGGCTATGTTTGGAGAAACAGAAGGTTGAGGGAAATGTTCCTAAAAATTCCTTCATGCAACTGTCAACCATCCACAATGTCCAACTTCTGTCCTAAGAAGGATGAACATATCTAACATAAAAGCAAGGAATTAGAAACTGAAGAAACAAATGCCACTTTCTTTGTGAAGATGAAAACCATGAAAATTATACTATCTTATCCATTGAGAGACTGGTTTTGGAAGAATGATAAAAAACCTTTGGCCAGATAATTACTTTCTGTCACTATGTTACTCTTTTTTATAGTGGAAACTCTTTGCCATTGTAATTTTGGGGGTTTCTTTGGGCTTTTTGTATGTGCTGTCCTGTACATCCTCTCATGTACAGGACCCCCCCTATTTTGCTTCTGAAATGAATGCTGTGCTTCTTCTTCTTATTCTTCAAAAAAAAAAAAAAAAAAAAAATTGTGGCAATCAACTGTTCTATCTAACCTATAACCATATTATTCCACATTTTGAATATATAAGGTTACTTAAGTGAAAGTAAAAGAACATATGTATTAATTCATCATGATAGAGATGATTTTAGATGTTCATCGCTTTTGATTTTTGTTATTTTGAAATGTTGAAAGTCTAGAAAAGCAACACGTGCTCATTTTCCAAACCACCCAAAGTCCAAACATTTTCAGATCAGATATAATCATAGTTAGATCAACTGGATCATGAAATTGTTCTGTATATTTTTTATGTAAAGTTTGTTAAACATACTTAGATACCACATCTCTCAATTTGTAAAATCTAACATGACAAACGATTAAAATCCTAGTAACTCCATATCCCAAATCTTAACACATTCAGTCTGAGACATGGCACAATAGCTCAGAAAACAAAGTACAAACCTTCAAGAATTCTTGGGCCCACTTGTCTTAGAAGGACCAGCTCGCTCAACCATAACATCATAAAGTTGCTTGCCATTCTATGTGAAATGAGAAGAAAACAAAATAAGAGGAGACAAAATAGATGAAATCCTTCCTTGTGGAGATAAAGATATCAAATCTGTAGGCCTGTAGCCTAATAACAAAACTTGAAGAATCAACAAAGGCATCTTATACTTTGCTTATCTAGATACTTACAAAAATTACAGGAAAGAAGTGTACTTGTCCTTCAGGCCTTGTTTGTGTCTCCTTAAAATACACCAAGATTGGAAAGTTCGGCCACCAGAGTTCCCAATTCACAAAAGTTGAATATCTGTAGAATGTTAAAAAATATAAGGTAGAAAGAATTATCCCAAACCTTTATTTGGAGAAGAAATTAACTCACTTCCAACGATTCTGTCCACCAACAAAGACATTTTCACCTGACTCCTGAAGCTGATTACCTATTTTTACCTCCTAAAATAACAACCAGATCAAATTAGTGGTAAGAAAAGTAACTTTTCTTCATCAAGACAAGTTTCAGATATCAAAAGAAATAGAAATAAAAAACCCATACAAGTTTTCTTCATCAAGGTTTAGAGACAAAATTCAATGCAAGTACAAAAAAAGACCTGAGTGGAAAATGACTCAAAACTCATGGATCATATTATTCAAATTAAGGGAGTGCAGTCTGGTATTGAAGTTTTCATGATACATGATCAAAATGTCTCAGGTTTTGAGAAAGCTTTGCCATCCTTTAATCAACTGAAGTTTCCTTGAGTCCCTTTTAGTGGGCAGGACATAATGAACTAAGAATAAAATGGGGCACTACTCATAAGTTCTTATATCCAACTCAATGCAAATCAACAAAACCTTATATTAACTACTTGAGATTAGCTACTCTAAGTTTTGATACTGGAAGCTGAAGACAGCAATTCAAAATTTATGAAAAGGCTCTAAAATGCCAAAGAGAATCATAATGCAACAAATATGTTAGATCTTCAGCCTTTCAGCTCTATGGTCCAAGACCCCTTGCATTTGTGCATATGTGTTTAAGGATGGGACTGCTTTAAGATGATTGAGAGCACAAACCAGGGCATCTTCATCAAATACGAATCTCACTCTTGTTGTCTGAAAACAGGAGATAAACATGTTAGTTTGGGGAAGAACTAGAAATTGTATCACATTATTAAAGGGAACACAAGAATATCTGCCTTTCACTGTAAGATAAGTAAACATAATGAAGGATTCTTGTGCAAAGAAAGGAGATCCAATTTGTATGTCATAAACAACAAATATGTACTTATCAAAAAAAATAAATAAATAAAACAACGAATATGTATCAAAAAATTCTCTTCCTTTTTTTAGTGGGCCAAAAAGTTATAGATATCAAACATAATAACGTGGGACAAAACTATAGAAAGGTTGTTTTATGCAAGGATCTTATAGGGAACAATTTTTCTGTCTTCATTATCATTACCTGGAATAATAGGAGCAAACCAAGGAGACCAATTGGTGCAGCTGGCAGAAGATTATTTGTATACACTAACCCACCAGATAAACCTGTTCATATTAACAATTTGACATAATATACAACATAAGTACACCACAACTTCAACAGAAAGGGCAGTATTACTTGCAAGACTTGAAGGTTTTCTGTCAAATTTCAACTAACAAGGCTCTAGTTAGGCATCATGACTGAAAAAAACAAAGTTAGGGGTCATAGCCATGGGCCAAACCAAGAAATATAAACCAGAAGATCATATTACCTATATCATAATGCTCATCTGACAAAAGAATATGTTAAAAAATGCTTGAATTTTGTGCATTGAACTCCAAGCCAAGTAAGTCTCTTTTGTGCAGTTTCCTATTTGGAAACTGAAGCCACTTCCTCTTGATTTTTTTTTTTTTAATTTTTATATTTTTATGGTGTAAGGAAAAGGTTCCTTGTGCATTTTTAAATATGTACTTTGGAATACTTTTTTATAAAAGATTTACGGTCTTCCATGAGAGACCTTGTGGAATATGAGAGTTTCATAAGTTTCTTACTGGGTATTTCCTCTTACAGGTTTTGGGGTTCTAACAATTTGCATCCTGTGTAAAGGGTTGTATTCAAGGTTCGAAGTATCAAAACACCCCAATATGGCGGAAGGGGTGTATTGGTACTTTGTACCACATGGATCACTTTTTTTTAGTTTTTTTTTTTTTTTTT